GCGCGCGGGGAGCGCCAACGCGCAGGCGCAGGCCGCGATGGCGCTGCGCACCCTCAGTCTTAACGAGGACAACATGCTGGCCGTTGCATCGGCCGGCGCGATTCCGCCGCTCGTTGCGCTCGTCAAGAACGGTAACGATGTCGGCAAGTCGCAAGCCGCTGCGGCACTGTGGAATCTCTCACTGTCGAATGCTGCCAAAGTGACCATTAACGAGGAAGGCGGACCCGCGGTGCTTCTGGCCCTTTTGCGCGACGGGAGCAAAAACGCAAAGTTTGAGGCGCTCGGGGCCCTGTGTAATCTCTCCAAGAACGAGGAATGCAAGGTCACCCTCGCGGCGACCGGTGCGATCTTGCCGCTCATCGCTGCTTTACGCGACGGTATCAACAAGGTGAGTGCCGCCGGGATACTCTGGCACCTCGCGGTGAAAGACGACTGCAAGATCGACATTGCGACGGCCGGCGGCATTCCGCTCCTTTGCGATCTCTTGAGCGACGAGCACGATGGGACGAAGGATAACGCTGCGGGAGCTTTATATGACTTATCATTCAACGTCGAGATCAAGGTTACCATAAACCAGGCTGGCGGAATTCCTCCACTCGTCGCCCTGGTGCGCGACGGTCCCGACCCCGCCAGGTCGCGCGCCGCGGGAGCTCTCTGGAATCTAGCCGTGAATGATGAGAACAAGGTTGTGATCCACCAGGCCGGTGGCATCCCTCCACTCGTTGCCCTGCTGAGCGTCAGCGGTTTCGGCACGGAGAAGGCGTTCGAGAAGGCGGCCGGGGCGCTGGCGAACCTCGCGCGGATCTCCAACGTCGCGGTCGCTATCGTCGAGGCCGGCGGCATTCCTGCCCTGGTGGCCATCGTGAGCCCGAGCAACAGCCGCGTGGCCAATCAGTGGGCCTCGGCGGCGCTGGTGAACCTCCTCGTATATTTACCGAACTGCGTCACTACAATGCTCGAGGCCGGCGCGGTTCCGCCATCCGTCGCTCTGCTACGCGACGACAACGACACACCGCGGCTACATGCGGCGTGGGTATTGTCGGAAATAAGCAGCTGTGAAGCGGGCCGAGCCGCTTGCGTCGAGGCCGGCGCCCATCCACCTCTCGTCGCCCTTCTACGCGACGATAACGCCGACTGTAAGACGAAAGCCTGCATGGCGCTGCGGAACATGCTCTTGCATAGCGACGACGTCATAGACTCCGTCGTGGCGCTCGGTGCGCTTCCACCGATTATTGCAATGATGGGCGGTAGCGCTGTCAGCTCGGAGTCGGCAGTGAATGCCTTGCGAAACACGTCCGCGACCGAAAAGCATCTGGTCGATATCGTCAAAGCGGGCTGCATTCCGCCGCTGCTCGCCGTTCTGAGCACCGGTAGCAAAATTGCCAAGGAGCATGCCGCTGCTGCGCTACGGAATATCTCCACAGAAGATCAAAACAGGATCTGTATGGCCAAAGCCGGCGCCGTTCCGCCGCTGGTCGCGTGTCTGAGCGACGGTCCCAGCAACGTCGCTATGGAGCACGCCGCGGCCGCGCTTTCGAATCTCGCATTGAATGTCGAAGAACGGCAAGTCGCCATCGCCAAGGCTGGGGGCGTCGCTGCGCTCGTCGCGCTCGAATGGGACGGCAGCGACGCGGTCAAGCGGATGGCTGCGTGCGCGCTGAACAGCCTCACGTGGAAGAACGCCGACAACGAAGCCGCC